GCCTGTTTTTGACCCTCAGGGGCTCTATGTCTCTGAAATGTCTCGAATGTATGAAGTTGGAACAGATATGTAGCACGACAATTCGAGATACGATGAGAAAGGATAAGAAGGTAGGCATGCAGAATTCGACATTCCGGGTTGTTCGTTGGTGCAGCGAGAATGGTCAATGGTCAATGATTCCGCGGATTAACTAGTCACAAGTTGAATACCAGTTCGAACCTCTGGACACGAGCAACAAAAAAACTATCTGATATTTTTTTGGCTGCCGGTACGACTTCCGAAGCTACCAGGGCTCGGTACAAAGTGAGAGTCTTCCTTCCTGCCAAGGTAGAGAAAGGGGCACCAAAATTCATTTGCTCCTTCAGTTTAGATGTGTGGGCCCTTGCTGCGATTTCTTTGGTTCAGAGCGCGCAGATTTTCAAGGAGCATCAATCAACTTTCAATGATAGAAACTTACTTAAACAATACGCACGCACATATGTTTATGTAATCTGTGCACACAAAGCAAACACCACCCAAGTATTTCAAGCACGCAGCAGAGCAAAACAAGCATATCAAGGTAATTGGTTCGGAAACGTGCAACACTAGCAGGTAGCATCCATAGCTACCACAGCCTGTCAGTCGCCACCAACCATACAAAATCCTGCAAAGATAGAGGTTACTGCAATTTGGTTGATCATGGTTTAATCCACATCAACACAGGCGGAGTAGCACTATTTTGTCAACTGGGAATGCATTCGCACACACACCCACACACGCAATCAATCAACCAATCAATCAATCAATCAATGAACCAACTAACAAACCAATCAATCAATCAATCGATCGATCAACCAATCAATATATATATATACATACATAGTAAATAAATGATATAATATATATATATGCGAATGCGGAGAGCCCCACATGGGGCCGCACATTGGGCGCTCAGCTTTTCTACTCACCTTGAGCTCGTTGAGATCCCTGCGGAACACATGCATTGCTATGTGACTGGATGGCCCATCGGACCTGAAAGTGATTTCACACTCCTAAAAAAGCCAAAAGTAACTAAAAACAATCTTGAATTATTCATTTCATACGATGCACCATGGTGGTGCCAGGATAGGTCATCTGAGTCGCATACTTGTCCTTGCAGGTCAAATGGCGACAGGCCACCGTGGGCAAACCATAAATGGTCTTGCCCCAGGTCGGCCATGGACAACCCCATCTCAAGCACAAGAGAGCCCTTGGGAGCTTCGGCAGAACTGCTTCCACCCGATGGCTTGGGCATGATCGGTTGCTGGCGTTTGCGCCGGACTGGGCCCTCATAGCCATCACCGGGAATGTAGTCAAACTCTGCGTCCTCTTCGTCATCGGCGAACAGGCAGCGCTTGCTGCTGTCATTCATACTTTTTCTCCAGTGACCATGGGAACACCAAGACGGGCCTCGCGCATCACATTTTCGAGCTGCCCCATAGCGTGAAGATTCTGAACCAGCTCTGAGATCTCCTGAGGAGACATCTTGGGCTTAGACGATGCCATCGCAGAAACTGCTAATGAAACGAACACTGAATTGGCAGGGAAATGGATGTTCTTTGTGAACACTGGATTGAGATCACTTCGAAAATAACCTTGAACCACACGTGAGCAAATAAGTTCTGGATTGAGTGCTGTTCCCTCACACAACGCTGCAAGACTTCAGGCACCTATGCGCCAGTGAGTACTCGGCTATTAATTATTATATATAACTACTGTTATCCCCCGCAGCTATTGCCCCTTGTTTATTTTCCTTATGCTGACTTTTTATGGTTTTTGGATGGCAGCAAACTGATTGCGGACTGCAGCCTTTTCTGAAGCTCGGTGAAGAGCTGGCTCAGGATTTGTGGCGGCCTTTTCTGCGACCTTCTCTTTCAGTTCTCTGACGTTCTTGATGGCTAATATGAAAGCTTCTGCATTCAGCTGATATTCTCTGATCTCGAGGGCAGTTCGGAGAAGTTCGCTTGGCTTCAAATTGATCCTTAGTTACGGCATCTGCCAACATCAACTCCAAAGGGCACCAGCGGATCTGAAGACCAGAGTTCTTCATGCACTGTCGCAAGATGGCCAGGTCAATTGCCACTCTCTTATCTTCACACTAGGAAACATGATCATACAGACCTTTGCAATCGGTTACTCCAGTGATATCTACCAGTGGGATTTCATCACGACACTTGACTTGAACATGTCCTAGCGCATGACCTTGGACCTGTTCCCTAGTCCTCAAATCAAAAGCTCCATGCTTTGCTTCGGCCAAAAGAAGAGACATCCACTCTGCTACGGCGCTCTGCAGGTGCGAAGCATTGTGCCTCACCTGCCAGCGTGGAAGCAACAGGCACTAGTTTCATTCTTGGGCAATCGCTTGTCAACGAAGGCAGCTATGTATCCTGCCTGAGTTCTGTGGCCTTTGGCGTTTCCGAATGCAGCGTCAGAGTGAAAGGATGGACTAGGCACAAATCTCTACTTGATTCCGTAGATCTGAACCCCATGGATGGTCAAACATGACTTCACCCCCACTAGCCAACTGCTTGCGAATCTGGCGGATGCTAAACCGAATTTGCTCCCGAGATTTCTTGAGCAACATGGCAGTCTCTAAGGGCGATCTGTAGCAGCAATTCAGATGTTCCCATCCACCTCGATGGATGCAGGTTGGACAAACCACCAAGAGGTCAGGATTGGCTTCATTTAATTGTGCATCTACTACGGCTTGAACTTTGGGGTCAGTTAAATCCGATCCCTGCTTGATATCGTATGACAGTGCTTCCCTACCCCTGGCTTCTACTGCAAATCTTGGGGGAGAGAAGAGTTCAGACATGCACCTATCTTTACCAGAGTCGGTCGGCGCAACAACAAAGGAGCAGACCCATTGATCACTGCCGCAGCAACTGTCCCATATGTCTGTGCGATGCCCAGAGGCAACGTGACCACCTGAGTTGGTCGTTCTGTCATATAATTTCCAAATCTGAAGACACTCTCCTCGGACTTGAACTTGACAGGACCATGGCCCTTGGATTCGGTCAGCTCTGACAGTTGACGGAGTGTATTGGCTCCGTTCAGTGTTTTGCCGCAGCCACTATCCACCACACCAAATCCAGGAGATGAAAGGAACCCCCCGGTCAACACCTCACGCTCGCACACGCCATCCAGTTGTACAAAGCCCTGCAGCTCCTACCAAGGTGGGCTCTGGCTCTTCCATCTCCACGACGCTTTCCAGCCCCGTGTAGTCCACCTGAACATAGCCTGCTCCAGTGGGAGCACCTGCAGATGAACTTGATGAGGCTGCTTTGTCAGCAGGTGGTGCTTTGCACTCTCTTGCCCAGTGTCCCAGTTTGTTACACCGTCTTCAGCGAGTCTTTTTCTTCAGTTCTTCAATTTCTACTCTGAAGCTTCTCCGATCCTTGGATACCGCTCCGAACTGTCTGGACTGTTTCAATTTTGCGATTTCACGTCGCTGCTCACTCCACGATACCGCTAAGGCCTCAGCTGCGTCTTCCTCAGTGAACGTACCAAGGTCGCCAAGGTCATCAGGAGTGGCCTGATACTCAGACAGAAACGCTTCCACACCCTTGAAGTCATTGCCGTCCTCGATCCATGTGATCGCCTCGGACATCTGGCACCTCGTCAGCTTGATAGACCCCAATGGTCCTTTTGCGATTTGTCGAGGCCTTGTATTCACGACCGAAGAGCTTGTGACGCCAGTTCAAGTCCAGTTGCCCTTGACTTTTTGCCTCGGCAATCGCTCTTTGCTCTTCCGACATGCCAGCACAGCGCAGGAGAATCCAACCTTTGGCTTCGGGTGGGAAATTGACATTGCCCTTGCGCTGACACTGGTCGAAAGTGTCCCTGACTCGGCCAGTCCATGACTTCAAATCTTCTCCATCCCTGGCCGCAAGGGCAAAAATTGCCCCCAAGGCCTCCTTCTCGGGGAAGCGGGGTTCCAGCAGTTTCCAAATCTTCGCCTCTGAAGACAGTTTGTCTAAAGACAAGTGTTCACATGCATCCCAGGCCTTCCCGCCCAGAAGCTTAAATATCCAAGGGCCTCTTTGTTCAGGCTTCAGATCTCTGTAGGTCAACATTCGGGCTGTAGCCCGCATTTTCCAGCGTTTCAAAGCTTTTCCCAGGTCTTCATCTTCTTCATTAAACCTTTTGAGATTTCTCTCATCAGCCATGTTTGATCAGCGGGCCCCGGGCAGCTACCAATGCGAATACGGAGAGCCCCGCCCGGGGCCGCACATTGGGCGCTCAGCTTTTCTACTCACCTTGAGCTTGCTGATGCAGAACACTGCATGCATTGCTATGTGACTGGATGGCCCATCGGACCTGGAAGTGATTTCGCATATATATATATACACAGTATATGTATGTATGTCTGTATGTATGTATGTCTGTATGTCTGTAATGTAACGTAACATAACGTAACGTAATGCGATGGAATATAATGTACGTTTGTATGGATGCATGTATGTATGTATAAATGTATGTAATGGAATGGAATGGAATGGAATGGAATGGAAAATGCAATGCAATGCAATGCAGTGTAGTGTAATGTAATGTCATGTCATGTAATGTAATGTAATGTAATGTATGTATATATTAAGTATTGATTGGCAAATAATTTCATGGAAATTTTGATGAGTAGTGACTTTGCAAGTTCATGAGTTACTTCAGTTGGTTGTGCTCTTCCTGCAATGCGAATATTTGATGCCCCTATGAACAATACATGAACAAGAAGTGAATCTATTTCCTACGATCTACCTTTTGCTTCAGAATGCTAAATGCAGAACAATGAAGACTGCATCAACCAGCTGCTGATCGCTATCGTGAACTAGGCGAGCCTCCAGCGTGATGTTTCAGTTTTTGAGATGAGGATTGCACCAATTCACTGCACGGTTTGAGCCCGCTGCCCTTTGCAGACTCACAAATCATCCCAGCCTCTGTCGGCTGCGCAGCCGACTTGTGCCTTTCAGATTGCCTAGCGCGCCATGCGCGCAGGTGGCCTGAGCTTGCTGCTGCTGCTGCTGCCCATTAGCATCGTGTTCGTAGGCCCCAGCCCATGGAGAGCACAAAGCAACACAGCGCGGGTGGCACCGCGGGTGCCACGGCAGGCAGGGCCGCCAGGACTGCAGAAGGCCGGAACCCAAGTAGCCACTGATAGCCTTTTGAAACGTTGAAATGACATGAAATGAAATTTGAAATGACTGCAAATGGCCAGTCGTTTGCCAGATGGTGCCAGTCGTCCAGGAACATGTTTTGTCTTCTGCGTGCATATTGTCACGGGTCTTGGAGGGCAGAAGGGTTTGTTGCATCTGTGTCTAAGTTGCATGTTTTCAAATCTCCCACTACGTCCCCAGACTCTGGCAGGCGAGATTTATGGGGCGCTGGGTAGATTGGAAGCCGGTGATGCAAGAAGCTTCCAAAGCAGAAGAAGTTGGCGGTGATATGCCTTTGGGACCCTTGGCAAGACACTCTCACTTGATGTCAAGGCGGATGTTTTTCTAAAAATATGTAGTGTCAAGGCAAGTCAGCAGTTTGCTTAAATTTCCAAGCAGTGGGAGCCGGGTCTCACGTTATTTCTGGTTTTGATAGGATGGTACTTCACAGACTGATCAAGATACAACTAGGACCAGGATTTTGAGACAACACAATCAGACTATCACACTATCACACTATCAGTGACAATCACAACCTCTTTAATTGAGTTGGAGCCAGGCGAAAAGGTGCAGTATGCAGGGGAACTGGCCATAGCGGCCACTAGTGGAAAGTCACGTGAGAATCCGAATAGAAGAGCCGAACAATGCCGAACCAAAAACTTCGAGTCTACTTTTGTCTTTGAGCTTGATACAGTAAGACTGTGAAGATGCTGGGTGCCAATTTCTCACAGATGCTGATACAATCCCAATCGAGTACAAACCCATATCTAGGCCGTGATTTGTGGACATGGTTCAAGCATTATTTCGTAGACTGATTGAACGACAAATTTACATGAAAGAGTTCCTGGTCGTACTCTTGGCATCGAGCTGTGTCCACCTTGTCTCGTGCTTTGTAACTCTTGATATCAGTCTCAGTCCACTAGCCTGTTTTGTCAAATTTGTGATGTGCCGGAGACCAACTGCTTGGTGAAGTTTTTTTTCCCTGTGACCCTTGCATGGCCTGGGGTTTGGTGGAGCTGCAAGGAAGCAGAAGGTTTGGCAGGTCCAAAGTGTCAAAAGTGCAAGGAGATTGCAAAAGATTCGTTTCCAAAACTCATATGCCAAGTAGTAGCTTATTTTTTTCCGTGATGATAGCCCTTGCCTTGGTTTGTTCGGTCCTCTACCAGATTTGTTGTGAGTTTTGTTGCTACTTCTGCAATGGAATGCCGATGCAGCATCTTTGGATAGTTTTGCTGTGCTCTCTCCCACCGGCCTATTTGACGTCAACGTGCACAAGTAGCGCAGGTTGAACTCAGGTTCCTGATTCGCAGAAAGTCCTGACTTGCAAACTGGGATGGATTCGCCCGTTGTTACAAAGTCAGACTTGCAGGGACACCTATCGGAAGGACCTTTGTGAACAACGTGAACACTCATGAATCTCTTTGAAGTATATAGTTTGAAGTCTATCTTTCCGTGTATCTTTCAGTCTTTTTGTTTCTATGCAGCTCTTTGTGCAGCTCTTTGTGCAGCTCTTTGTGCAGCTCTTTGTGCAGCTCTTTGTGCAGCTCTTTGAGTCTTTTCCTTTCGTTTTCGACCACTTGGCAAGAATTTTGGTACCTCTTCAGGAATCCGCTTCAGCATGAGGGACGACGGAGCCTTCGAGATCACTGAGATTATTAGTGGCCTGGTCCAATGACAAGACAATAGACCGTCACCCAATCCCCTGTCGAAATGGTTGGCAGGAGCCAATAGCTGTATTTTTCGGCACAATATATCTAAACATTGTTGGTGTGGAAGCTCGTACTGGAATGAATCATTCCTTGGACCTCTAAGCTACAGGTTCTACTTGCAATAACTTCAACCATCTCTAGGATGCTGCAGACTATTTCTGAACCTGAATTGGCACAGCATTCCATTGCTATCCCAAGAAGTTGTAGGCGTGCATGAGACATAAGTAGTTGATGGCATAGCATACCAAGGAACTCAGGTTTTGGTTTCGGTTGCAGTTCGTGCGTGGTACAATCCAGCACTTGAACAAGAAAGAAAGGATTTGCAACTAATAATTCTGGCTTTCAGTTTTTGCGAGAGCTACTGATCTTTACAGATACCCTTTTATAGATGAGTCTTTCCTTTATTATTCTGGCTTTTATTTATACGTCCCTATGTATATACAAATATATAATGTCATATATATATATGTATATATATATATACACACATGTGTCACTTGGGAGATCATGCCATGAAGTATGACCTGATGGGAGCATGCCACAGAAAGGTGGTGATGGGTCCCTTGAACTGTTTGCTGCTGTCGCATGCACTGGGGCATTTCAGCATATTGCAGCTACCAATTGTTGGCAAATTCTAATGTCATCATAGTACATTATCAAATAACATCAAATAACATCAAATCCGATATGATGATATCAATGCTATATATATATATATATTAGATATTATATTATATTGTATTCTGATGTCCCCCAGCCCTTGGGATGGTTACCTGACTGCAGGTGGCGGCTCAGCTTCTGCTGGAACGTTGGAAGTGCAGGTTGGAAATATTATTCATGCTGTCAGCTGCGAGGCGAGGTTCGCACCAGAAGTGTTTTGGCTGGTCTTTGCTCATCTTAAGTCCTTGCTCTGAATGTGTGATCTTTTTTTTGCGCGAACATCCGAGCCAAATGTGCAGAATTAAGCGTGGCTTTGGATGACCTGTGATCAGGTTGGTGGGCGGAAAGACGTGACCACAGCTTCGGAGGTGGATTCCGTGGAACAAATGACACAGGCCTCCCGTCGAATCAAAACCTGGGATGATATGTAGCGAAGATGCGATTGCAAATACATATTTGTAGCATAATTTTATGCAATTCTTTTACACTTTATGCTTTCAAATTATGGAAGCCCTCGAAGGCTACACTGGGGTTCAGCAAGCGATGCCCAGCGATGCCAGTGTGCAGATTTCATTTTTGAACTGACAAACATGGGATCATTTCAGCAATACCCCCGGCAGCGCATGGCGTACACCTCCATACCCCAAGCGACGCAAAATGTCTACAATTGAAGGTGCGTGCCAACGTTTCCACTTTATCAAGTACAGTTGGAAGACACATAGCACTCAATATTTTTGACAGCACTCTCATTATGAATATCTTTGGACTCCTGTCTTCTGCAACACTTTTGCGTGAAATTAGTGGAAGACCAGAAGAAGATACAAGTAGGAGCATGAGACAACGTCCTTCTCCTTGCCCGACAGTTTTGCCAGTGCATTTGTCGAATATCTGATGTTCTTTTGATCTCTTTTGTAGAATTTAACATCTAACAGAATCAAACAAGAATCTGAAGAAATGTGGGCAATCAGTGACGAGACGGCCGCACCAAATTTGACAAAAAAATTGGGTTCTAGGCTGTGCCACATTTCGATTGCAACCCTTTTTGATGTTTCTCACATCCTATCAGGACATTTTGGTTGAAACATGTGAGGTACGTATTTAGACTACATGAAACGGGATGACAATCAGTAAACGAGTCCATAAGCTATAAACGATCGAATATTTGGACATCAGCCAAATAGGGCAATGTCAAATTACAAAGGACATTGAAATTGTTGTTCTCCTCGCCTGGCCACGACAGGCGATCCTATCGAATTCTGACGCTTGTCGCAAAGGTACAACTCGATACCACGAAGCGGAAGATGTAGGCCTTAAAAGGTGTTTCTGAAATATTTCAGCAGAATTTGCATACATACACCATCATACAGTCATACATGCACATGTGCTCGCGCAGATATAGACACGCAACAACGCAATGATGTAGCAAAGTGGACGATTGCAATTAAATTGCAGCCCGAGTGGAAACTCAGAGACGAGATAGTAATTTTAATCAGTACAGGTTTGTGTTCTGTTTAAAGCTCTTCCGTAGACTGAAGACGTGGGGTTGTTTTGTTGAATGTGGCATTTGCTGATGAAGTCGACGAGAGCATCGTTCCAATTCGAAGTGGATGCCACATGATTCAGAGTAGCTAGAAATGACAAGAGCAGATGTATGAATCAACCATTATGCACTTCCTCGGCCTTCCTCGTCTATGAGTATGAGCAGCTGACTGCTGTCCTTGTTGTTTGTGAGAAGCTAGGGCAGAGGCAATTGGGGGTTTCTATCTGATTCTCCTAGCATCTCAGATCTTTTGCTAGGATGAAGTGGTGATGATGTTGGTAGAGAAGCCAGACGAAGGAGCTGCGGGTTCTATCAGCTTCCTTACAAATGTTGCTAAAGGGTTCTAATTTGGGCAAGCACCCAGTCTCCGCAGCAACGCGCCTTGACATAGATGAGAACACTCTTGTTTTGGTTTTTGCTCTTGCTTCCTGTGTCTACATTTTGTCAGTTTGCATGCTTGGGTCTTTTTCATTTTTTTGTGTACCAGTCCAGCTTGCTGTTTTGAGCAAAACTTCATCAGCGTTATGATTCATTCTTGATTTTTTTGACCGGCTTCAAGAATTGTGGGATACCCAAGCCTACTGATGTCCTGCACTCCGCATCAAAGGTCCAGCAATCCTTGTTGCCTTCGTGGATGTTTCTGACGGCGAGCAGACAACCTGCCGGAGACATATCACGATGTGCAGCCCAAAAAAGGAAGCGGCTAACAGCGGCTATTGAAGGTGTGTTTCCTGATCTGCTTCCGCTTGCATTGATGAGTGGCTGTGGATTTTTGTTGTTTGACTATGCTTTCGAACGGCAGATCGCCTCCTTTTTTTGGCTGGGCTCAGCCATGAAAGACAATCCTGTGTGAGCATGTGACCGCAAGGCTGGCGGAGTCACTGCCAACCGAAGCAGGCTCAGCAGGGCTTGGAAATCGATGAGTTCCAAAGAGACAAGCGAACATTTGCTGCACATTTTGCACTAGCTCATGCCATCGAAACCGCTCACTTGCTCGGGTGACGTGTGTGTGGGTGTGTACCATCTGGATAGATGTAAAACTTCTTTTTCTCCATTTCAGTCTTAATGCGGGGGCACAGAAGGCCCATAGAGCTGTGCCCAACGAAGGCTCTCTATGGTGTCTTCAGGATATCTGGAATTCCGTTGAGCCAATCCTGTTTTCCAAGATGGCAACCGGATAGTGTAAGCTACTGATTAGTGTGGGGGGCCCCCTCAACAATTTTAGGCTACTCAATAACTCGCCATTTTCTTGGGAACCAGTCCTGGGGGATTCAGGATGATAAACTCAAGTAAGGATTTCAACTGACATCAATCTACTTTCAATTGATTGTCCTTTTAAATCCAAAAAAAAATCGCCCCAAAAGTTTTTGTGCACACTAGGGTACCATCCAAACAATTACATTATGGAGGATCTGGGTCACTCATGGGGTACCCCCTTGAAAAAATGTTTGGGTGCTGTTTTTTTTATTAATAAGGCATCTAATTATTTGGGAAACCTTGCATTTTCAAGGCTTTAACATGGATATGGCTTTCTAAAGTAAATGGACCTTACCCAAAGAAAGGTGGATAAAAGGTTTTGAGTTTTTTTTCACCCCAAAAGTTTTCGTGCACAATAGGGTACCATCCAAACAATTACATTATTGAGGATCTGGGTCACTCATGGGGCACCCCCTTGAAAAATTGTTTGGGTGCTGTTTTTAAATAAGGGTTTAATAATAAGGGTTTGATAAGGCATCTAACTATTTGGGAACCCTTGCATTTTCAAGGCTTTAACATGGATATGGCTATGTAAAGTAAATGGACCAGCTTTACCTGAAGAAAGGCGTATAAAGGTGGATAGAGCTCCTCCTAAAAATCGATCTGAGAAAACACTTTCCACAATAGAGGCCCACCCCTCATCCACAAGATACTCAATAATTTTGGACATACATCCACAATAGAGGTCCATCACACTAATCGGTATACCGGTATACTACATGAAGCCTAGAACCGGCATGTGGAATCGTTTGCAATTAGCGCATGTGGTTTCAATTTTAATGATTTGCGCGTTTCCCGTATCCGGATGTTTCTCCATGGTCTACCAGTTTGAGGGACATTTGAAGATTGAGAGATTGTGCGTTAAGATTTTTGCGTTTGCATTATGGACGGATGGACGCAGGGACTCCTTGCATCAGTGCAGGTGACCTTCCCTTTTCCTGACACAATTTTGCTGTTGATTTGCACGTAAGACTCATTCCAACAGCCCAATTAGATTGAAGATTCTGTTCAAATGTGCGTGACCCTTGCCCACAAGGGGTCGAGTCACTAATTTTTGTATAATATATATATATATAGAGTTTTCGATCCTAAATGTTGTCATTTTGGTTTCTGTTCCTACATTTGCATGTGCGCCATTATTCACTGAGTGCTTCTTTTCTGCGATCGTTGTGTTTGTCGGACAATTTAAACAATTTCCAGCCAGTTTGCGGCACTATGAGCGTTTCGTGCTTTGCCAGTGCCCAGTATGGAATTGTGCCAGCGATAACTGCGCAAGTTCACTTGTATAAAGCAGATTGAAATTTGTTTCAAACTATATTGTTTGAAAATAGTTTGACACGTTGAATGAAATACGAATGAAATGTGAAGATATGAGGACAGCTGAAATTGAACGACATGTTGAAATGTTGAAGGCCGAACGAATAAATGTGAGCCAAAAAGACTCAAAGAGGAGTCCCCAGTTTTCCCTCCTTGTTCAATCTTACTGTTTGAAACAATGAAGACTCACCACATACCATGCTACGACGCAATCTCGCACAGCACTTCCCACTGACCAGTTATATGTACTGTATAATGTCATAATATCATAATTTCATAATTTCAATCTTTGTATCTTTGTATCTTTGTACCTTTGTACCTTTGTACCTTTGTACCTTTGTACCTTTGTACCTTTGTATCTTTGTATCTTTGTATCTTTGTATCTTTGTATCTTTCTATCTATCTATCTATCTATCTAGCTGTCTACTGTATCTATTTATCTTTCTATTTATTTATCTATATCTACATATATATATAATATATATATATATATATGCTGTACTGTTCTAGTTGTTTTTGCATCATGACTGAAATCATCTGATATCTGCACTTGTGATTTGGCAAGTCTTGGCATTGTGGTGATTCCTCCCTCGTGCAGCGCCGCAGGTGGACAGCCGAGTTGCTGAGAGAGCTTGGCTGAGCTGCACCGGTTCTGGCTGGAATGACCTTTGTAAAGTACGCGCCACATTGAAGTTTCACAGGGCACAAGGTAAACCAATAGAACACAGGGGAGCAAGAACGCACTTTAAGCATTTGGGAATAGGTATACAAGAAGCCCGAAATGGAAAACATTTCACGCTTTAAGCTAAAGTGGCACAAGTATTTGTGCCTGCATGTGAATATTTCAGCTCTGATACGTTGCCATTGCCCTTCTTGCTTTGAGCTTTTCGCAGCATGCTAGCAGGCAAATACATACCTCGATTCAGCTTCGCAAACGTGAAGCTGGGTTTGTTTTCTATCTATGCAGCAATGCATTTCTTTGAAAAGAGCGTTTTCGAATGTTTTGAACGGTGGTTGCATAGCAACAGTGACATGACTCATTACTTTGCTTGCCAGAGTGGTGAGATCTTCAGCTTGCTGGGCGTTGGCGTTGGGGCGCCTGGACTGCTTCACTTACGCAATGTTGGAGCTTACAGCAGCTTACACATGATCAATACATTATCATTTTCCTGATTTTACTGCAAGATGGCTTTGAACTGAAGTGTTGCCCAGTCCCGTTTGACAGTTGGGTTTTTGAGAGACGGTGCACAGCAGTACTACAATATGATAACATGCTACTGCAATAGTTGAGGCAGTGCTGGATGTGTGTTTTCAAACAAATTGGATCGGTATGGATGTCGTCCTTGGGGTGGCTAAGGCACTGGCTTCGAGCATTCTAGGGATGTGCTTGCCATGGTCCCAGAATTGCAGCATCAGGTTTCACAGGATTGGGAACACACCTGCAACTTCGAATAGCATTCTGGCTTTAAAAGACCTGCTGCCGGCAGAAATCTTGAAATTTCACATGTTGCTGGGGTTCAGTAGCTCCAGGCTCACTTATAAGCATTAAGCATACTATTTTTATTTGAAGGTCCTCCAGAAGAGGTGCCGCCCTCCCACCGACTTGCCAGCACATCCTAGCGCACATCCTGCTGATTTGAAGTCAGAACATCGTAATTCATGACATGGACAAATCGCAGTGAGTACCAAAAAGAGAGCTGAACGGTGGGTGGATTAGCAAAACACCAAAATACAAGTATATAATTACGAATCAAAAACGTTTTTTTCGCCGGCATGAACGGAGTTTTCGGGCATGAACAGGTGTCCACGTCGTTGTAAGAAAAGCAACGGCATTTTTTGGTGCTAGAAGACCTTGATTTTTTTTGATCTTGAAGACCTTGGACGCAATAATTTTTTGGTGGCTTTAATAACCCTGAACCAAAAAATATTGGCCCTGCGCTGAGAATGCTTTTGGATGCTTTTGGCATTTTAGCCTGTATGAGCTCGGGCTGAAGAATTGGTAGCCATGACGATCTTGGTATCGCACGTACCTGTCACCCAGACCGATGCTAGCGATAGAATCCAATTGTATCACTTTTGTGTTTCTTAAATTCACAATTGCAACCGGTGATGAAACGTCAGCAAAGAAAAACCCAATGAAGTTCCATCATCCGGACAGCACATCCACCTGAGATAGAACATTTGCAACCAAAAGCGACCAAGAACATTTGTGCAATTTTTGCTGCAGTATGAAGAAGTGCAGATTTCGCATGATTTCTTGATATTGCGGGTTGCAAGGCCCAGCTCGCTGGGAGACTCTGCTTGGGTCCGGGTGCCTATCGCAACAGTGAGATGGGTCGGGGGATCGCTTGGAACCACGGGATTTGGATCGCTTAGAACCGCGCAATTTGGATCGCTTAGAACCGCCCTGGAATCATCATCACCATCATCACCATCATCTTCATCATCCTCATCATCCCCATCATCAGCAGCATCATCACCATCATCCTCATCCTCATCCTCATCCTCATCATCATCATCATCATCATCAGCATCATCATCATCATCATCATCAGCTGGTAGATCATCTACATCCCCTAAACCCACCCCATGTCCCAGCCCCGTGTCCCCACTTGTCCCCTAAACCCACCCCATGTCCCAGCCGCGTGTCCCCAAGTGTTGCCCTAAAGGTCTCATTCCACCATGCTGGTTATAGCAGCCTCAACCAGCAACATCTGGGCTGGTGGTTCTGGTGATCCCAATCTTTTGGTTCTAAGTGATCCTGGTGCCGTGAGATGGGTAGGCTTGACAAGGGTACAGAGGAAGCTCTTGACTCTTGACCGTAAGATATCTCTGATTCTTTTGTTCAAAGAGGCTTAGAATTGGGTATCCGTTGGCTGACTCAGGCGTCGTTCCTCATTCCTCATACCCTGGAGCCTCGACCTATATTATGCCATCACATTGGCTGCAGGCACTGTTTGTACCCTGGCTCCTTGTGGTCCGACGCCCAGAAAGAACAGTGCAGTTGGCAAAGATTCCAACACAATCACCATGCCTTCATTCTAAACCAGCAAGAGCTATTCATGCAACTTTCACGTGGTGTTTCAACAAGATGGAAGATATGGAAGCTGATCCCAGCAGTGAGCATTGAGGAGGGCTCGTCTGTTCCGTAACCAAGCAGCTCTAAATTCGCAAAACACATTCTGTCTAAATTCGCCTGAAAAAGAGTCTCGAACGTTTCCGCGAAAAAGTTAGTGTTCGCTCGCTGCTAAAGCTTGCTAACATCGCAGGCTGCAGATGATTTGGACATATTCAAAGTAAAGTTGCCAAGGCGAAGAAATTTCTGTAAGTTTGTGAGATATCAAGAATCAATGCCAAGGTCCCTAGTGGAAAAGCCTCAAAGGCTCCGAGTTGTGCACTCGCATTGGAAAGAGAATCCCGGGAATCCAAAGCCTTTGAGACCCTTGAGACCCGACGCATCTCACACGTCTCTACACGACCTTCGTATAGCGCCTCATACTGGTAGCAGCTATCACAGTGTAGAGCACAGGAACCACAGCGCCAAGGTCTTGGGGCTGCAAGTGACATTGTCTTACCGCTTGAAGAAGCTTCGGAAAGTTCTCTGTCGCGAGGACCTGATCCCACGAGTTAGACACTAGACATCGGGTGCCACCAAGATCCATCAAGATCCGCCAGACAAGCTCAGCAAAGCCTTCAGTGACCATCATGTTTGTGATCATTTGTGATGTGTTTAGGATGTTTAGGGGTGTTTAGTTTCTACAGGCTTTGCAGTGACTCCTTGCCTGGCCTTGCCCCTTTTAAAAGGAAGTGCTTCTACGCGTTGCAGAGCAAGTTCTCATTTCCATGGTGTTGTTCTCAGATGTGCTACGAAGGAGCCACAGAGCTTTATTTCAAGCTTACACTAGTAGCACATGTGGAAGACTGCCAGCTACAGGGCGTTTCTTCTCAAACCTCCTGGAGACCCTTCCTTTTTGGAATTAAATCCATTTGGAGATCACAGCTTTTGTATGCGTTGATACAAATTACGAAAGCCAGCTGGGAAGCTGGCTAGTTGTTATTCGCGAACGAAGTGAGAATAGGGGGTGTGGGGGGGGTAGTTGCCCGGAGGCACCGAAAAGGTCGTAAATAGGTGGTGTTTTAGGCGTCGGAAAGGTATGGTTTTGCAGGGTAATGTACTGTGCGGCGAAACAGTGACGGTGGGTATCGATTCCCCCTAGGTCCAGTTTTCTTGGGTGAGGCAACCAGTCAGGTGGAAAGATAGATGGAGAGAAAGGCATTTCTGGAGAGACTGGAGAAAGAAGGGAGGGTGCCTGAAATCTGAAATAACGAGAGAAAGAGAGAGAGAGAGAGAGATTTTCCCCAATTCTGACATTTTTTTGGGACATTGTTAGCCTTTTTATTGGACCACACACGATGCGACCACTGCAACCTCATGGAGATGAGAAAAACCCAACAACCATTTCTTGCACGTCAGTGGGCGTGTCAGCCCATGCTCCTTAAATTGTGCTGAGCATGCCCGACGAACTCCATGATCCCACGAAATGTAATGACAATGTACGGTGCAAAAAATGTCACCTACATGGTAAGGCTATCGTGCCCGCAACTTTTCCAACCAGCAGATGGTACGTTTTGGATGCACACGCCTCCCAAGGTTTCTATATAATGTAAGTCTGGCTTCATTCTCGATTGGAGCCTGATTCGAACCAAACACCGGAGCCAATGAAGCGCCCTAGGCACTTGAAAGACTTCTGCATGCAAGTTGCTGCAGAGTTCTGCTGTGAGACTACATGTGCAGTTACCATTGTGCTCTCGCTGTGCATTTTTGTCCGGGGTGGTGCTTGTAGACCTCAGCTATATAGAAATCATCTCGACAAGCGATGTAGCAGTGATCATCGCTAGACAAGAGTTATGGGAATATGGAGGATAAGCGTAAAGCAGTCATTTTCAGACTTCCCCCCCAGGTCCGGTTTTCTTGGGTCAGTCAGGTGGAAAGATAGATGGGCTACCTAGTTTGAGAAGTGGACGGGGAGAAAGACATTGCTGGAGAGACTGGAGAAAGAAGGAAGTTTGCCTGAAATCTGAAATAACGAGAGAAAGAGAAAGAGAGAGAGATTTTTCCCCAAAAATCCAACATTTCTTGGACATTTTTGGCCCCTCTATTGGACCACACAGAAAAAACCAAACAACAATTTCTTGCACGTCAGTGGGCATGTCAATCCATGCTCCTTAAATTGTGCTGAGCATGCCCGGCGAACTCCAGGATCCCACGAAAATGTAATGACAATGTACGGTGCAAAAATTGTCACCTACATGGTAAGGCTATCGTGCCCTCAACTTTTTCGTTTTGGGTGCACACGCCTCCCAAGGTTTCTATATTACGAAAGCCAGTTGGGAAGCTGGCTGGTTGTTATTCGCGAACGAAGTGAGAACAGGGGGTGTGGGGGGGGGGGTAGTTGCTTGGAGGTGCGGAAAAGGTCGTAAATAGGTGGTGTTTTAGGCGTCGGAAAGGTATGGTTTTGCAGGGTAATGTACCGTGCGGCGAAACAGTGACGGTGGGTATCGATCCCCCCTAGGTCCAGTTTTCTTGGGTGAGGCAACCAGTCAGGTGGAAAGATAGATGGAGAGAAAGACATTGCTGGAGAGACTGGAGAAAGAAGGGAGGGTGCCTGAAATCTGAAATAACGAGAGAAAGAGAGAGAGAGAGAGAGATTTTCCCCAATTCTGACATTTTTTGGGACATTTTTGGCCTTTCTATTGGACCACGCACGATGCGACCACTGCAACCTCATGGAGATGAGGAAAACCCAACAGCAATTTCTTGCACGTCAGTGGGCATGTCAACCCATGCTCCTTAAATTGTGCTGAGCATGCCCGGCGAACTCCAGGATCCCACGAAATGTAATGACAATGTACGGTGCAAAGCCTACATGGTAAGGCTATCGTGCCCCCAACTTTTCCAACCATCAGATGCTACGTTTTGGGTGGACACGCCTCACAAGGTTACGAAAGCCAGCCGCTAGGCTAGGCAATTTTTTTTTTTTGCGAACGCAGTGAGTTAAGGGGGTTTGGGGGCAGAGCGGGCAAAAGTGGCCAAAAATCACGGTCTCAGTTGCACCCGGGTTTGTTGAGCATTTTTGAGGGTCATGTACCAGGTGGCAATTGGGTGACGGTGGGGTATCGATTCCCCCCTGGTCCGTCCCTGCGAGGCGATATAGAGACCAGAATAGAAATATAGAGAGCAGAACCGAATGAGAGCAGATGGCTGAGCGCAGTAGATAACCAAGACATTACTTCAATCCATTTTATGCTGACTCCCCTAACTGTCGGGTTCCGATGTGGGGCCATTATGGGCGCAAGGATTTGATAAGCGCGTGTGGACATGGTTGTCTGAAACAGATGTTTCCTGGCCTGTTCCCTGGTCGGCCGTGCCCTGGAGGGAATGTCGCCCCGCATTCATAGAGGGTAGGCGGGGAGGGGATTGATAGGTTGTTGAACACCGATGCAGTGGGAAAGAGGAATGGGCTGCGAAGAAGGAAAGCAAGGACACGAGGAGGCGTAAGGGAAGTCAAGCGGAAGGCAAAAGGAAGGAGAGTGAGTGAGGAGGGCAGAGGTATTGCTTGGAAAAGCACTGAGCTGAACCTAGATGGGGTATGTGGGCAGAGGCATTTGCTTGGAAAGCTCAATGGAATTTTGCCCGTAAAGGTCCTTGAATGGAGGTACAGTAGGTACGGAGTACGGAGAAGGACCTGAGAAGGAGCTTCTGTCAGTAAAGGCTCGATATGGTCCGGTGGGCTTGCTGAAACTGAATGACCCAGCTGGTCTGGTGATCTTGGCATTGAAGCTGCTCGAACATTTGTGTCGGATTTGGGTGAAGCTTCTTTTGGATGAAGCGGAGGTAGGAGATATCGCTTGAACCTCAACGGCTGATCTGCTCCGGTGGGCTTCGCATTGAAGATGCCTGAGCATTCGTGGTCGATTTGGGTGAGGCTTCTGATGGGGCAAACCGTGGGGTTGGGCAAGAAGGGTTTTGGTATGAGATGAACCGGTCCGGTGGGCTTCGCATTTAAGATGCTTGAAAATTTTGTCGGATTTGCGTGAAGCTCCTGCTGGATGAAGCGGCGTGTGAGATATGGCTTGAGGGGAAGAGCCATGCTGAACCTCAACGGCTGATCTGCCCCGGTGGGTTTCGCATTGAGGATGCTTGAACATTTTTTGCAGATTTGGGTGAAGCTGGTGGGCTTCGCAGTGAAGGCTTAAGGGGAAGGAACCATGCTGAACCTCAACGCCTGATCTGCTCCGGTTGGTTCGCATTGACAACATGTCTGTCGGATTTGAGTGAAGCTGCTGGGCTTCGCAGTGAAGGCATGAGGGGAAGGAGCCGTGCTGAACCTCAACCGCTGATCTGCTCCGGTGGGCTTCGCATTGAAGATGCTTGAACATTTTTGTCGTCTTGGGATGGAGCGCTGACGGGAAGACCCATTTATCCTTTTTGTTGTTTTTTGTTTGGCACTGAAGATGGCGACACCACATGCGACATACTCAGGTTTAGGGTGTAGCGATGCAGCTGAGAGGGGGCGAGAGACCAACTCGAGTTGTGTGCTGCATGCGAGGTATACGTTGACTTGCACATGTGGTGAAAAGTCTGTGGGTGAAAAGTATATGGGGTGAAAAACCTGCGAGGTAAAAAAAAAATGTGGGTGAAAAGTGCACGGGTGAAAAGTATATGGGCGAAAAATCCGCGGGTAAAAAATATGGTGCAAAATTTAAAGTATATGGGTGAAAAGTCTGTGGGTAAAAAGTCTGTGGTGAAAAAAATGTTGAAAAATCAGTGGGTGAAAAACATGTGGGTGAAGAGTAAATGGGTGAAAAATATATGGGTGAAAAATTGTGGGTGAAAAGTCAGTGGGTGAAAAGCCATGTAAAGCCGGTGGGTGAAGAGTATGTGGGTGAAGTCTGTGGGTGAAAAGTGTGTGGGTGAAAATTATATGGATGAAAAGTCAGTGGGTGAAATGTTTGTGGGTGAAAGGTATGTGGGTGACAAGTCTGTGGGTGAAAAGTAAATGGGCGTAGATGGGATGCTGGTTTTCGTTCCCCCCTTCTCAAGTCATGTAAATCAAAACTCGTTGAAGGAAGTAGATTTGTGAGATGCAGCAGACATTTGAAGACCTTATCGCAGCGAGGCTTTCTTGTCCCTCGTGGTGATCGTCGTTGAACTTTCGCCATACAGCTTAGGCCAAGCTGCTGTGAAAGTGGGACCGATGATGGAGTTGAATTGGTCATTTTGTGTCACTTTTTGAAACCAGCAAATGAACATTGAGAAATAACGGGAATGCACGGGAATCGATACCTCAAACATTTTTGCAGCTCCTGGATCATGCTTCTCTACAATCTCTGGGCATCGAGTAGAATTGAGTAAAACGATGCAACATGTCTAAAATCATGAAACACCTTCAGCTTCACTAGTGACATGCACTGGCATACAGGACGAAGTACAGTGACCGCCAAGATCTGCACTGAACCTGGACCTAGGTGGAGGTGCTGGAACTGCTGGTATTGCGCTTGGCACAGGCCACAATTCTGCAGTTCCTCTCAACGACAGGTGGAAAAGGTTTCAAAATGCGCTTATTTTCAGATGGCTTCCATTTGCACGCCCAATTCAGGTATCATCATGTCTCATCATGTACAGTATCATCATGTATTATCTAGATTGTAGTCTACACCAGACTCCCCGTTCGACAAAGAACACATCTTTCAATATTATTTCAGTTACTTTGATGTATCTTCAAGTCTCCTTGTTCCGGACTGCAATCTACTGATGCTGCAAATGGAGACAAAGTCACATCATCCGGAACTGTCTCATCAAAGGTGTCAGACCTTTCCCACACTTCGCCACATGATCCAAATGCCCTGCTTTAGCTGGGAGCTGGCAGGCATTTGCTGCTTGGCTCTGCTCCGCGCACGGATGCTGATTGCTGAACACAGGCGCAGCTCTTCGCAATTGAAAACAGACCAGTGAAAATCGAAGCAGAATCAATGCAGTTAATACATGTTAGTACATGTCGCTACACAAGAGAATAAATGACAGTTAAACAGACAGAGGTAAGCAACTGATTTCTTCCGGAAGGGGTTCCCACGATGCCAGATTTGGGCATTTACCAGATCGAATGCTTCGGCAAGAGCTTCGAGCTTCAGAGGCCATTTGTAAAATCGTTGTGATCTTTGGGTGAAACACTGAGAGAGCTTGAGTTAGAAAAGATTGAGAAGTGATGATTAGTGATTGAATGTATGTGTATATATATATATAAATATAAATCTATCTACATATTTCATATTTCAATATGTTCAACACGAGTCTGGTTTTGGACACGCTCGAAAGGATCATAAATAAGAATGATCGCCTTGGTTGTGTTTGTGTCCAGTGATAGACCATATTCTTTCAGCATGCTGCAACGCTGCCATTGCACATGTCATTTGCCAAATCTGAAGAATCTAGAAATCATTGAACATCTCATGAAATCTGCTGACATTTGTCCAACATTTGTCCATTTGTCCAACCAGGCCACCAGCATTCGAAGCTCGGTCATCTCAGGCGTTGGCGCTGAGGTGCTTTGCAAAGCATCAGTCACATTGAGCTTCGACAAATTTGTGCAGAGCGTATTTAGCCTAATTTGTGCAAAAAGACAACAAACATCTGGTGCCTTTTTTGTCGCTGACACAGGTTACTTTGCACACAAGTTCCATCACCTCTCCGACTTCACATATGGTGTGAGACGATTCACACTGCCGGATTGGAAAAGCTCTAGAGGCCTGAAAAGCAGAGGTTGGGCTCAGTGTTGTTTGAGTTGTCTGTGTTATTGCAGAGCTTCTTGGGTTGTATTTGGGCAGAAGTCTGTGGACTTTAGGTCTTCAAACGAAGGGCTCACGAGGAATGTGAAGGGTCTTTAGACTTTAGACGCCTTGACAAAGCAAAGACAATTTTCTGCCTCGCCTTCAGCGCCATATTCTCCATTGTAAAACCTGCCGAAGGCTGCAGATGTTGCATCACACATATAAAAAGTGTTTTAGATAATGGAGTAAAAGATAGTGAAAGATTGAAAGATAGTGAACGTATTTGAAACTTAGATGAGTTCTGAGTTGTGTTTTATTTGCAGCTGCGACCAGGCTCCGCAAAACAAAAAATAGTCTGAGGATGTGCTGCCATCATTCTCTCAAAACGGATGTTACTCAAGCCATCGAGCCATATCGAGCCATATCGAGCCATATCGAGCCATATCGAGCCATCAAGGCAAGGCTGATCAAGCAATGCTCCACCGACATTTTGATCGTAACAAAATCCAGAGCAAGCTGTCCAGATGGCTCCAGATGGCTCCAGATGGCCTGAGACACGCAGTCTTGCAGTCTTGTAGAGCACATCCGCGGTGACATTGGGGCCATGGCTGCAGGGAGTTTGAGCCATTGGCCAGGTTGGTTCGTTGGTTCCACGGTGGGTGGCCCTCCCTTGCACGAACTGTAAGCAGAGAACCTTCGTGCAGATTGAATGTAGCACTTGTATGCACTTGTAGGTTGTGTGCACACCTTGTTTGTCTCTATATAGTTGCAGACTGTTGCACACATCCAAACAGCTTTTGTCTGACACGACACAATTTGCCATATGTTGCTGGCGCTTATCTTTTCTGACTTTTAGAAGCAAGAGGTAATTCTGCTCGCGCAAAGCTCGTTCACGCGCATTTCACACAGCCACAGGACCTCCCCTGACAGAAATCTCTGTCTCCAGCATACTTTGACGTGCCAGGGCCAGTCACAACAAGTTCAACTTCCTTCGCCACATGCCCCGCTCCACACATTCAGGCGACACCCTCAACGAGTTCTATCATCAAACTACTGCATGTCAAACTTTAGATCACTCCCCCAACAGCTCCAGATTGCTGCATTTGATATTCTAATACAGTCTAATACATCATACAGCCAAGATGCAGAGGAGTTGATTCCCTTGGAGCACAGGAGCACTGTGGTGCTTCATTTCTGGGGAGAGGGAAACTCAAATAAGTCAATTTGATTCAATTTGTACCTCCTCTTGCTGTTGTTGCTTCTTTGGCGATTTCTCCCTTGTGGTGCTCCTAGCTTAGACTTCTGACGACTTCTGGCAATGCTTCAGGCGCTGGATGCTCAAGCACCTGCCTGCTTGGAGGGTGGACGGGACCCGAATCACGGCTCGTATTGAACGTACGTTGATGGCCCTTTTCCAACACCAAGGGCATGGATTTGTAGATTTTGCAAGGTCCGATGGTGTTGTTCCAGCATTGGATCTTTGAAAAAAGGGTCACAAAGCATCCCAAAGCCTGTTTCGAAAGGGTGTGTCCGCAGATGGATTCTTAGTTGCTAGGATTTCATCTTAGTCAATGATGCGTTCTTGACTCCTTGACAGTATAGCGCCTGATTCATTGGTCTCCAGGAGTGCGAGAGTTTGCCAGAACGAGCAGAATTGAAAGCATTTGCCCGATCCATCGATCAGAGCTTGAAGGAGTGGTTGGATCCATAGAAGCATTTTAGACAGCAAATGGCTGGAAGCACAGCAGCATACAGCAACCCTGAATCAGAATCAAATCATGTTTGCCCCCTCAGACATCCATATAATTATATATATATATGTATATATAGATAGAGATACATTGCCGACATTTGGAGTCAGATTTCTGGTATGGAGGATGCTCTGGAGACCACAAAGGAAGCGCGGAAGCGCTTTGAACGCCGTGTTCGGATACTCAGAGTCGGCATCACTGGAATGATGTGGTTTGCGCTGCCCGGAGACCGGACTTGCTTTGTAGCAGGCAATAAAGCTAGGTATAGGCCTAGTATAGGTGCTTTAGGGTATCGATTCGATGCGGATTGCTTGGTATGGTTACGTAGAGGGAAGTAGAGGGAAGTAGAGCGAAGTAGAGCTGTTTATAGCTCAGTATACAGTGTGGTTTCGGTTCGGTTCGGTTTCGGTTTCTAGTATTTGCTATAGGCCCGGTTCGGTTCATGTTCGGTTTCGGTTCCTGCGGTTCCTGGTCGATTTCGGTTCGGTTCGGTTCGGTGTTTGGAACATTCTACATTGATATTTGCTTTTTTTCCGGGGCCGGAAAAGCAAATACAGATTGCTTCCTGCAAGAGGTTTATTGCTTCCCGCAAGAGGTTTCATGAGCCGCGGCTTTCAAAGAGCGGAGAGAGCTGAACTCGGAAAACCAAAGCTTCCTGAAATTGCCAGTGCATGCAATTTATTATGAAGAAACCCATATTTGCTTTTTTCATTGAACTCAAAAAACAATTACAACATTTACAACTTTTCCAATCAGTTTATTGGGGGAGGGCAAGACGGTTCCGGTTCCTCCGGTTCGGTTTTGCACACGGTTCCAGCGGTTCACGCTTCCTACGGTTCATAGGCTATTTGATTTTCTACGGTTCGGTTCCACGGTTCCGGTTCGGTTCCTGAACCTTACTGAGTATAGCTAGGTACTGATAGGTACTGTAAGAATACGAAGGAACTGGCCTTCCTTGGGCCCTCGAGACTGGCACTAACGCGCAACCGCGCAACGTCCTTCTTTGGTCGTGACATACCACAAGCATCCACAAGCAATTGCCGTCAATTGCAGCCATTCTATGAAAGTAAGACTAAGTAAGAAGAGTAAACATGCTGCTGCCACAAACATCAAAGACATATGGGACACCAAACAGAGTCAATATAAGATAAGATAAGAGTTTAACAGTTTTCTACCCGTGCCTACAGGTTTCGTTTGAGTGTCCAAGAGTTTTCTCGCTCATTGCTGATACACTGATACTAATGGAGTTCTGAACTAGTTAGAGGGCCTTGGTTTCACATGGCTTCAGGTTTGTGACTACAGATATGCAGAGATCGAGGACAGCGACCATCTTTCTTTTTCTTTTTCGGGGAGAGCCGAAGCGGTTGGGTCTTTCTTGCGCAGTCCGGGTCTTTCGTTTGTTTCAACTCCGCGTTTTTGAGTGGACATGCCGGTTGTGAGGCCAGAGAGTTTCTTTCCATCCCTTCATCTGAATGCATTTCAACATACCAGATGCTTCCTTGCCCTTTTCTCAGTGATTGGAGTACGTCGTTTGCCACAGGTAGCCACCTTGTGCTGTTCACAGGCAGTTCTACTGCAATCAGTTTGCCTCGGGTTTTAGGCTGCAGGTGTCCAGACAAGCGTTCGATCGAGAAATCCTCCGTAGGACAAAGGACAAGTTCTGGCAGATGCTTACGGTTAGTTGCTCAGACCTATTCTGCTTATTATGCTTTTTCCGGTTGGCAGCGTTTTAATTTTTTGAGCTTGCAAGAGGTCTACCCTCTCATTGTGTCTGGAGTCCAGCTGTCTACTGTAAACGCCAAGGACGAAGATTCATTGCAACAGGAACCCAGGTTTTTTTCGATCTCAACGCCTCAACAACACTTTTGCGAAGACCGCGCTGCTTTGTCTGAGGTCCCAACGGGCCAATGAAGCCTGGAGGGAGCTATTTGTACGAATTGAGGCGGATTGAAGCTGCGCGCGGATCCGGGATCGCTGGCAACTTTTGACGCTAACATAAGCACAGGGCCACTTGGCCTTGTGACTCCAAACTCCGGCCTTGCCCGCTTGCCCGCTCTGCGATATCCATTCGAAACCACCTACCATCTCATTGCACCAAGATTATATATATAGTAATTTAATAGTATATATATATATACAGTATACGTATAATACACACACATGTATATATATATGTATAATTACTGTATTATTTTGTTTTTTTTCCATGTTGTCTTTTCAACAACCCCCAATAAAAATGATAGCACCCTGTACCAGGGGTTCAGGGAATGGATCATAGATCAGGCCATCTCAGTTGCACCTCGTGTAGAAGATGATGTTGTTTCAATTGTTCCACGTCACATGTTCCTATCGTCCCATTTTTCAAACGGGCATGATATTGTTCATTTTTTTCTGTAGTTCTAGTTCTGATTCTGCATTGCATTTTCTTTACTCTGTATTCTTTCGGTCAGCGTTTCACGCTTTCCGTTACTTTCTTTGTAATCATTCTCGCTTTTAGGCTTAATGCTAGAATTGTTGCTTTGGCAATGCGGCAATGCTTGATTTTGTCAACCTTCATAGTGGCTTCATTTTCAGCCCTGTAACATTTACTGTATGCAGAAGTTGCTTTTCACATTTCCTCATTGTCATTGTAATTGTAATACTAAGCTTTACTTTGCATCCCGTTCTTGTATTCATGCATTCATTTTCTTTATCATTGTCTTTTTTGCTCACACGAGATTGGCAGCCAATGAGATGGGGCTTATTGGATTCAGGAATTAGCTTGCCTTTAAACGAAAGATATTTTGAACCAGCCGAAACTTTTGGTAGGAATGGATGACAAGTGCAATCTGGTCCTGCCTAGAACCACGCCGTTGGTCTATCTAAAAAGACATTTTGCAAATAACGAGGACCTGGATTTGTTACTAGATAGGATCAAATCAAGGATGCCACCCTCGCGCGCTTGCATCAGGCGTTGGGTGGATGCTGTCCAAGAGTTAAACCATGAGTGCTCGTTGCGGCAAGGTGATGTTTGTGTCAGCTGCATGGCTGCTTTATTGGGTTGTGGGATTGAACATGGGACTAGGAAGAATCGTCTAAGGGCATAGAAACACACAAACCTGATTTATTGCGGGGGGATCCAGTGCACTCGCGACATCACCACGCTGTCATCTAGCGCTTCAAGCACTTGGTTGACGTTGAGGGGGCAGTCACAGATTTTGATTAGGAGAACTTGCGTCCTTTTTGGAGTCCAAGATCCAAAAGTATTTTTTTTCCTCTCCCTCTCTCTCTCTCTCTCTTTGCAAAATTTGTTTGATCTTGGTGAACGGACCCCTTTTAGATTTGCGCCGCTTCGCCCATAGTGAAGTCACACATGCAGATGAAGTGTTTAAAGTCAATGAACATTATAGTTCGAAAACCTACTGCATAAACAACACATAGCTAAAATGAATGAACAACGAAAAGTGAGCATGCGGTTAGGAGTGGAAAAAGTGCTGCTTACTTGGCATCCAGTTTTGCCTCCGATCATTGAAACAGACTTCCTAGCAGATGTCCTTTTCTTTAGTTATTAAACTCCCATGCCACTTGGGCATGGCAGTATCCACATTCAAAGATTAAACATGGTCTTCTTGGAATATCAGCTCCCATCACTGCAACACTTTGAACAAATTCTTTAGAAGACATAGAATTCTAGACAAAAGAATGCCCGCCCCTAGCTAAAACCAGGCATCTGTGACTTCACACCTCTGGTAGCACCTCTGGTGTGCGCAGGTTCGTTCCGCCCGCGATATGTCACCTTGCATGTTGCAACTAGATGGCCCCTGTGTCTTGTGCTCCTGTGCTCACTAAGACCTGCTCTCCTACCTGCGCAATTATCCACAAACGGATCAAGATGCCAATGGAGGCCGGGTTCTGCGAGTTCTCTGCGAAACAATTCACATGTCAGTCACCTGTCAGACGCAACATAGATCATCATATGGATTGCGCAGAAAGCTTTCCAAGGAACCAAGGTCAAAGTGCTAACAACAGGGAAGTTTTAGCAGGCTCAGTTGCAATAAGATGAAGAAGGGGTTGCTCTATACAACCAAGTTCTGAGTGCGATACAATGGATTGCAGGTTGTTTGCCCTTTTGGCTTGCCTCCTTCCATATTGAACTAAAAAGATTTTATGCTGCCACGCCATTTCAAAATGAAAACATCATGAAAACCCAATCTAATCATATTTAATCCACCCTCTTGAGAAATTCTAGGACCAGTTTTGCAACAACCAGTGTCAAGTCCCCGAAACTGTGTGGCAGGTCACGGGGTGCTGGGGTCCGGACAGTCAGATGGGCTGGTAGGTTGGATAGCAGGCGGTAGCAGGATGGCAGAGCCAGGAGGATTGCCAAGCTCCAGGATGCAGTGCTTGGCATCAGAGGGGAAGACGGTCAGAAGTCTTGTAGGAAGTCCAACAGCGGTAGGTTTCTTCACCTGTAGAAATTGATCGGAATCGGGCCGAGTTTTCAATGCCTCAAAGGGTATGAATTGGTAATAATTGGTACAGTGTGGTAGGAATTGGTAGGAATGGTCGCTGCCACAGCTTCAAACATGTACTGCTCCCAGCTAGGGAAAAAAACATGAACCAACATTCCATGTCCCGAGCAGTTTTATTCCAATTGGAAAAAACCCTGTAGTAAACAGTACAGCGCTGCAGGAAGAGTGACTTCTTCTAATGATTCGCATCCTTATGTGCTGCAATGTGCTGAAGGGTTACCTCATCTGTTACCTCCAAACTCCAAACTGTTCTGGCCATTTTGCATCATGGCGCATGACCTACGCCGCAGCGGCACTTTGTCGTGCTCGACAGTGGCAACAGAGCCTTGCGCTTCTGTCCACAGTCCCAGAGTGCCGGGCCCAGTTGGGCTCCACCCTGGTGGCATTCAGCGCCGGTGTTCTGTGGGCCAATGCCTTGTTGCTGCTTCGAAGTTCCCGAAGGTCCCGAAGTTCCGAACCCGATGCCGGTGCCGTTGCAGCTGTGCTGGGAGCATGTGGAGCAGCGCGACGTTGGGAGCAGTGCCTGGAGCTATTGGAAGAGATGTGCGATCGAAGAGTCGAAATGAATCTCGCCTGCTACACAGAGGCCGTGCTAGCCTCAGGGATCTTCACAACCAGTCTGTTTTTTCAATCGGCGGCGCCATCATTCTCATTGCCCTCTCTTTCTCATTTCTATTCATATTCCTATTCATATTCATATATTCATACACGTAATGTTCCTCATATCATATTTGCCACCACCACTGCCAGCACCAGCACCAGCGCCACTAATATCGTCATCATCATGGTCATCATGGTCATCGTTGTCATCGTTGTCATCGTTGTCATCGTGGTCATCATGGTCATCATGGTCATCGTGGTCATCGTGGTCATCATGGGCATCATGGGCATCATGGTCATCATGGGCATCATGGGCATCATGGTCATCATGGTCATCATGGTCATCATGGTCATCATGGTCATCATGGTCATCATGGTCGTCGTCGTCGTCGTCGTCGTCGTCGTCGTCGTCGTCGTCGTCGTCGTCGTCGTCGTCGTCGTCGTCGTCGTCGTCGTCCTCATCCTCATCATCATCATCATCATCATCATAATCACCATCATCGCTATCGACGGAAGCTTGAAGAGTAGAGTCGCAATGTTGACGCTGGTGCCATGTTTAAGCAGTGATACAGAAAGAAAATGGCAAGTTTTTTTTTGCAGCCGCTTGGTTCAAGAGATTGCATAGGGAAGGGTGGTGCAGCCCTTCGTGCCGCAACTTGTTCAAGAACATGGAGCGCATTGCTATTGATTGCCGTTTACTGCCATTGTCGAACATGCTGAATTTGTTGAGTGTGCCGAGTATGTCGAGTATGCCTTTTCTCTACTCAGTTATGCTTTGACTTGTTTTGTGTGTTTCCCGTCGAACCACCAAGTCCAGTACAGTAGTTGAAAAACCAACCACGTTCCTGCAGTCTCAGGCAGAATTGCACCAGAAACGCATAGGCAACACTTGGGGCTAGTTTGGAGATGTTTGGACAGTTTGGACAATGTGCTGCACGTTTTACATTGCTCCTGTTATGCGTGGTCGCAAGCATTTCAACTATCTTGCAGTACAGCCGCTCATAGTTGTAACCATGATCTGTTTTTTTCAGCGAGGACACAAAGCGGCAAATTGATTTGGTCGATGTCTGGTGACAAATTTGCATGTTCTATCACTCGCATGTCAACAAAGACATCTTTTTCGACCCTCGTTTTCGACCCGATTGAATATTGCAGCCGCTGTTCTCCTGTCTTTGCATCATGTCACATCTTAGGCAGATGCTACGCTGCGGTGCTGGTGTAGCTTGAATTGGCAAAGATTTTCCAGTAGAGTTACAAAAGGATTAAAAAAAAAAATACTTTAAGGACCTCTCGTTTCCCCAATGACTCCGCCTGTTCTTGAGCTGGAACTTGCTTCTAGTAGCTGTTCTCTCAATTCTCTGCTTTTTTTTGCAATGAAAATCAATTAGAGCTTTGAGGGGCAGTTTGAAGAAGGGACACATGAGAGGTACTATTCACCACTTGATCGAGTGAGAGTAGGCACTTGCACGGAAAGCCTTTGAACCTCTTGAGGGGAACGATCCAGAAAAACAGACGGACGGATCCATTTTTGAATTCCCTGCTTTGGATGTTTTGCCTGGCTCCACTCAGGTGCTGGGATGGACAGTTCAACTGGCACTGCTAGTGCAGGTTGCGAGTATCAAGGTGTCCATTCAACTTCCAGCCAGAGACCTTTAGATTGATTCAGCTGGAAGGAGGTGTCTGAAATCAACTCAGAAAGAGGAGTGAGATCGAGCTATCTACAGAACTAATACTGCAGTATCACATTTGTTGTATTGGTGCAACCAAAGTGATATTTGAGGTGTTTTTTTCAGATAACTCTACCTGTCGTGGCAAGCCAAGCTGTCCTTTTGTTTTGATAGTAGTCTCCTTGCTGTTGAGGAAAAGAAGTGCTTTGGTGAGCAGGCAGCCAAATTGGAACTTTTAGTCACTTGGAGAGCATGCCCTTGGCCAAAGAGAACAGTTAACTCAGTTCACGATATTACGACGATATTGTGAGTTCCAGGAAGTGCCGAGTTTTCTTTTTCTGTCCGAGCTCAGGTAGTCGAGCTTAGTGCCTCTGAGGGTAGCAAGGCGATGGACCCCGATGGACTTTGTCCAGGGTCAAGATCGGATTGCGGATTGCATTGATTGCATGCATGCCCTTTCTGATCTTTCTGGCCCTAGCTTTGACAAAGATTGTCCTGGTACATGGCATTCAGTCTTCGGGGCTACGGACTGCAATGGCATCCACAAAGAAACCACCTTAAAAGTATTTAAAAGTAGCTTTATTCTCCTTTGAGACAGTCATGGTGTTTGATTGTGCTTCCACTGCGGATATCTCAGCCAGTTTTGCACTTGTGCTACAATAAGCCCTTGCTGATTTTAGTGTTTCTTCAAACCTCGCAGGTGGGCGTTACGGTTCTTAGTCCTCACGCGACCATCTTCTCTGAGCACGACCGGCAGCAAGTGAAGACAGCCAGGGAACACAGGGATGGTTGGCCTAGGGCTGGGAGAGTCTGGCTTGACCATGCTTGACCAAGATGCGTTGGGGAATCCTCCGAAATCCTGGTTTCGGGCTGTTGCACCGCCTGTTTGATGTGCTTGCAGCATCTTGCAGCTGCTTGCAATGCATGTTTGATCATGGCTGAATTGACTGTTGAAGTCGAGATGATTTGCAAAAACCACTTGATTCGAACAAGAACAATGCGGATCAACGCGGTATGATTTGCTGCAACGTATCCAACCGTCCTGATCGTCCATTGGGTGCCTTGGAGCGTGTGAGGCTTTCACTACGCAAGATGCTGGGCCACATTGGATCTGCTCCTTGGAAAGCAATATTTTGATATATTTTGCACATCACGGAGCCGTCCAAATAATATTCGTTCAGGTCTGCCGGCCTTCCCGTAGATTCACGCTATGAAAGTAACATAAAGTAACTACAAAATGCGAGAGGATGCAAGTAGTATGAAATTGTAAAGCTTGGAGGTAGCAATGAGCCTCGATTTGGGCTCGCTTAGAGGGGGCAGGTCAGATTCCGCAAGGGCTACTTTAGATTTTGCCATTCAAGTTGACCTGCATGATTTGCATTCAACTGTTTGATAAAGATGGACTTTTAAAGCATTTTAACACTTTTTGGAACTATAGCTCTTGCAAAGATGATCACATTGATTGGATTGTTCTACTCCCATCCACTGTTGAACATCCTTTTCGCAGGCGGATGACCTGTTAGTAGCTGTCTTGCCTGTAGGCATACAGAACGACGAGGCGACAGATGCGGAAGTTCTGTTAACAGCAGCTCGTCTCTTTCTAGTGAGAGCGATGTTGTGCGTCAAGCAAGCTGTTGCATGTGATCCATGTGCATGTTTCTGAAACTAGTGGTTCTCCGATGGTTCTCCGCTTGGTAGATTCACTGGTGGCACTAGATAATACAATAAAGTGAGGGCGAGAATCTCAAGTAAAGTGGTCGTGACCTTTGATAGCATCCCTTGCAGCTGAACATATCTGTAAACTAAACGAAGCCATGGCTCCCCAACTCAAGTCGCTAATTTTTCGGACTTGAAGAAAATGGACGAGAGGGTGCACACCGCAAGACTCCAATTTCCATTCGAATGGCTTGAAGGACTTGTGATAGGAGACGAAAGACTGAAGGACATCTCAGAGGTGTCGAACTGTTAGCAGAGATTGCACAGATTGTCGCACACTGGAGAGGCCCACTTTATTTGTTCCTGTACAGTACTGCCAGGGCTCGATAAAGGCAGAATCAAACAAAGCTGCAATGCTTGTTGTTACATACTAATCCATTCGGAACATTTCAACTGTATAGGACATTCGTTTAATTGTAGAACTTTGGAGCTGGTGCATTTAGGTAAACATTCCTGCCAGAGCTTCAAGAAAAACTAATTCTCAATCGCTCCGAACACCACTGGAGATTGATTCTCTCATTCAGCCTGAGTTCTGATGGTGGCGCCTCGCAGAGGTTTTGCTGGGTCCAGAAGCCAAAGACTATTCGCAGATTGCAAAGAAGGCTGAAACCAAATTCTGACTGCTTCCACTTGTAAGCTGCGTTAGGCCGCATTGTGAGAGCGAGGAGATACTCAAACTACTTTCCACCAATGTAATCAACAATGTGTGTATTGGCAATATTGTAAATACAGAGTGAGTATTGTGCAAGTATTGTGTCAGCAGTCAAATCTGTTGAAATCTGTTGAATGTTCCTTTCCAACATATTTTTGCCAAGCTTCAGGAGCATTTGGAAGAGTCACGGGTAATCCTGCGGAGAGCCAAAGCCTTGGAGAGATTGAGAGCCTACTGTGATGGTGCGGAATTGAGGATACTTTCAGCCTCAAGTGTATTTGTGAATATACAATAATATACAATAATACACATAAACACATAAACACATAAATAAATAAATCAATAATAAATAAATAAATGCATACATACATGCATACATACATGCATACATACATCCATCCATGCATGCATGCATCCATCCTTCCATCCATCCATCCATCCATCCATGCATGCATGCATACATACATACATACATACATTAGATAGATAGATAGATAGATAGGGTTCATAGATAGATTAGATTAGGTTAGGTTAGGTTAGGTTAGGTTACATTAGATTAGATTAGATTAGATAGATTAGATAGATAGATAGATTAGATAGATTAGATAGATTAGATAGATAGATAGATAGATAGAGATAGATAGATTAGATTAGATTAGATTAGATTCGATTAGATTAGATTAGATTAGATAGACAGACAGACAGACAGACAGAGAGAGATAGATAGATTAGATAGATTAGATAGATTAGATAGATTTGATAGATTAGATAGATTAGATAGATTGGATAGATTAGATAGATTAGATAGATTAGATAGATTAGATTCTATAGATAGATTAGATTAGATTAGATTAATAGATAGATAGATAGATAGATAGATAGATAGAGAGATAGAGAAATAGAGAGATAGAGAGATAGAGAGATAGATACATGCATACGTACATACGTACGTACATACGTACATACGTACGTACATACGTACATACGTACGTACGTACGTACATACGTACATACGTACATACGTACATACGTACATACATACATACATGCATACCTGCATACCTGCATACATACATACATACATACCTACCTACCTACGTACGTACGTACGTACATACATACATACATGTATACATGTATACATGTATACATGTATTGGTACTTGGTGTCATGTGTTTCCAAGGGCGAGAGACCATGTTGCAAGATCAAGATTGTCACTGCGTCCCAGAGGTTGTAAATAGTGCATGAACGCTGCATACTATTCTGGGGTTCTCGTTGAAAAATATTTTGAAGCAGTGTTTTTGAGTCATGTGCCACAGGCTCACAGTGATGCTGGACTCAAAGGTGCTTGGCGCTGCCGAGGTCGCAGACAGACTGGGACATTATCATAGCAACCTGCTCTACATCCGCGCGAGGGAGGAGAGGATGAGGTGGCAAGGGATTTGGGCTCAGGATTTCCCAACATGTCTCGGATAGCATCCCAACATGTTTAGGATATGTTTTTTGCACAAAAGAGACCCCGCAGCCGAGAACATGTTTACCGAAGAAGAGGTCTCGCGACTCTGATAAACGTGTGTTTTTTTTTGCTTCCGATCAAGAAATTGAAATCATATTTTTTTCGTTGCTCTTTTGCAACATGTTGCAACATTCTGCAACAGTCTTGCCGAAAACATCCGAAAACCAGGTCAGCACAGCTTCTTGCAAACAAAACTATGCATGCGCTAGTTGTGCAGTGTCGGTAAGTTTTTTTTCATGCCCTTGTTGTGCACTACCCTTTGTCTTGTCCAAGGCGGACGAATGACTCCACAGCTACCAGAGTTTCTTGGCTCTCGTTTCGCTCCACTGAGAACTGTGCTTCTGCGAAACACGTGATTCTAGGCATTTTGACAAATACTAGGATAGTACAAATACACATATGAAGAAATACGTGCACTCACAAGGGACAAACATGTCAGGTACATGTGGTTTAATCTTGTATGTTTGATGCGCATGTGCTATGATATGCTACAATCAATACATATACAGTATATATATAATATGATATGATATACACATACATTAAAAATATGCATACATGTACACACACACATGTGTGTGTGATATATATATATATACGTGTATATACTGTATATATATATATACATATACATACATGGTCCAGTGTTCCAACCCCCCCGGCCATGGTCATGGGTCAGCCATAGTACTGCCATAGTACTGCCATAGTACTTCCCCCCCCTCCCCCCCTGTGGTATGGTGTGGTACTGTCCCCTCCCCTCCCCCTCGTGGTATGGTATGTTTGGAATGTATGGTATGTTTGGTATGTATGGTAGGTATGGTATGTATGGCATGTATGGTAGGTATGCTATGTTAGTCCGTTGGGTATGGTATGTTTGATATGACACTATGGCACTATGGTCTCTATGATATGTCTGGTTGCTATGGTATCATTGGAATGTATGGTAGGTAAGGCATGTATGGTCTGTATTGTATGTGTTGTAGGTATGGTATGTTTGAATTGTGTGGTATGTATGGTTTGTATGTCGGGTATGGTATGTGTTGGAGGTATGGTATGGGTGGTATGTATACCAAAGTAATGCATGCATGGTACTAAATTGGGAGTAGATACATAGCACATGTATATGCGACTATAGGTAGCGCGTAGGTACTTTGAGGGAGTATGCGTGCTACGTAGGTCGCCTAAAAGGTAGCACGTGCCTAGTAAATGCAAGGTTGGTAGCCGCAAATGCTGCAAAGGCCTAGCAAATACGAGGCGAGGGTGGACCTCAGAAATGCGCCAATAGCTTCCAAATAGAAGGGAAGGGGGTGCTACCTGGGGACCCATACCATTGGGGGGGGTAGGAACACGGAACACGAGACCATACATACATACGTACGTACGTACGTACGTACATACGTACGTACGTACGTACGTATGTATGTATGTATGTAATGTATGTAACGTATATATGCATGTGATTAATGTATGTTATGTTATGTTATGTAATGCAATGCAATGCAATGTAATGTACTGTAATGTAATATAATGTAATGTAATGTATGTACGTATGCATGCATGGATGGATGGATGGATGCAAGGATGGATGCATGCATGCATGCATGGATGTATGTATGCATGCATGCATGCATGTATGTATGTATGTGTGTATGTATGTGTGTGTATGTATGTATGTATGTAATGTATGTAAGTATGTATGTATGTATGTATGTATGTAAGTAATGTATGTATGTATGTATGTATGTATGTATGTATGTATGTATGTATGTATGTATGTATGTATGTATGTATGTATGTATGTATGTATGTATGTATGTATGTATGTATGTATGTATGTATGTATGTAGTATGTATGTATGTATGTATGTATGTATGTATGTATGTATGTATGTATGTATGTATGTATGTATGTATGTATGTATGTATGTATGTATGTATGTATGT